AACGAATTTTTGTATAGCCTCGTCGATCTGACTTTGAGTCATTTCTTCAGGGGTACCAATAATCAATGTTTGTAACATTTTGGCGAGAATATTATCACCGATGGTCATTGGAATTGGACTAGGTGCAATACTAGGTTGTCTAAAAGATCTTTTTCCCATTGGTGATTGGCGACCTGCATGATTAATCTGTACGATAGTTGGTGTACCATAACTTTGACAAACATTGGCATATCGCTTCCATTTTTCAATATCGATCTTTTCTTTACTAGGTACCATTAAATCTGTCATAAGACCAGGATAACGTTCATCGACTTGGACGTTGCCTGTCAGCAAAAGACCAAATGAGCCTTTTGCCCAACGTTCGTAAAGGCGATAAATATATTCGTTAGGTTGATTATCAACGGTGCCAAGTGATTCTTCCATAGCAGCTTTGATAATCCTATTCGATAGTTTCAATCCGCAAAGAAGCTCAATGGGTTGTCCAATAGGCATATCATATTGCGACATGATTGCAAAGAATAATTCGTATCCAAACTGACTATAAACTGAAAACAACAAGAAATGCTGTTAGCACGAGCGCCGTAGGATTAAAATATGCAACAAAATGCAGCTGCTCTTCCTAGTTATAGAGGATTTTTTTAAAATCTATCCATTTGGTGCAAGTTTCTTAAACATTGCTTTACTCAGTTCTTCAAAACTTCAATCAAAAATAAATTCATACGTTATACTAAAAGTTCTTGAAGTGTTTAGGAACATATTAGACGTATTAGTCATCGTCTGTGAGGGTACTTTATTATCAACTGATTCTTAATTATTGTGATGAATGATTAACCAAAAACTAGTCTTTAAGCAATTTTTTAGCCAATAAATCTAATTAATGAGATCTTAATTAGGTACTAACTGACTAATTAAGAAAGTGAATGTCACATTTGTGACATCTCGTTATAAAGATGTCTATGAAAAGTGGCTGCTAAGCGCTTCAATTGTCTACAGACGATATGCTGTAGATTTGAGTGAATTGAAAGTTTGCATAGGATATGCTTAGATTAACAAGAAAAGTTAGACTAAAAGGATTATTTACGTAGAATTGAACTCGAACCTTCAGCTCCCAATAACCGATTGGTTTTGTTTACCAGTTATATTACACAGACATCACCTTTACTACATTGTAGTTACATATCAATACTTCGAATGAATACAGGAAGGCTAAATATAGTTAGAGAAATAGTGTGATCCAACGGACCTTTCTCTTTCTGAATGTCGTACGAGAGCTTATCTCGATTGCAATTCGAAAGGATCTTCTTAGTCTAGAAAAATAAATGGTGATATTGAAAAGTAGAATTATCACGATGTGTTGTTTGAAGGTAAAGGTTAGTATCAAGGACAAGAATGTTACGACTAGCTTCGATTCTTTCTTAGGAGATCTTCATGAAAGATGGCGAAAGGTAAAATGCTCTAAGTTACTAAAATAGAACCAGAAGAATTCTTTCACGATTATTTAACTTGATTATCTAGTAGCAAAAGTGTCAGCATAATGATTTCAAATAACAAATAACAAAAATAATCAAGACTAAATATTCTCACAGTGATCTAACGAAGATAAAACTTGTAGACCACAGAAATCATAAATGAGTTAATAAACTATAACAATTCTTTAAATAGTAAAAGAGCACATTAGGAACGATTTCGTCCTTGCTCGATGAACTCATGAGATATTTTTATAATTCAGTGCATCAAATCATGAAGAACATGATATCCAACACGATTATTCGTACAATCCTAGCAATATGTTAGCTACGGGTATCCTGATGTCACTTCAGCTACGAAGATTATCAAATGACAAATAATCTCAATAATTAAAAAAAAAGAATCATAAGATTAAATTATTACTAACATCCATGAATTTGAGAATTCCCATATGCGGCCAAAAAGTGCATGTATTAGAATGATGATTCTGTGATTTTGGAGGCGAGGGTTAGGAGAAAATGGTCATACATGGATGGATTGAAGTAAGATTCGTTGAACAATGAAGAAGTTTATCAGAAGAACGACTTTTACAACGTAACCTTTTTAGGTCTTTCAGTTTGAAGGTAGTTGATTAAATGACAACGGTTTCCCTCTTCATCCTCATTTTTCCAATATAATCCGTCATAAAGAATTTCTTGCTGTCGCGTTGCTGTAGACTAATCAAGATTTAATGAGAAACTTCTATTGGATTAACAAATAGGTCAATGACGGAAACGTGTTTTTTTGGTTAAATTCTTAGAACAACGGATCTAATTAGACACGAATCGAATATTACAACGATCTGATTGAATGACACCTAGATAACGCCGTTCTCTAATTGATTAAATTATCAGGACAGTGTTTTATATTAGATGTTTCATGTCATCCTGGTTTTCATTTCGTAGTGTCTTTTTACAACGCGGAACATCGAGGGAATGGATACAAAGTACTTGTCCTGATAGCTTCTCTGAACTCTTACATATATATGTATCCACACGATTTAATACCTGTATTGAAACATCCAAACAAACAAATTCATTGTATAGTATATGATCTCTTCATCAATCGAAGAAGGTAGAATGTGTTATATTGCAAGTAACGAAAAATATCTCTACAAGAACATTTTTTCGTTGATAAAAATGGAAAATTATCATCTGGCAACACGAAAATTTTGTAAATGTAACTTACTTGATATTTTATTTATCAGAACTTTATTAGAAGGTTTTTTTGTTGTTTTGTCGGATATAATGCATGTTGCTGCTTTTTTTATATGTCGCTGTTTTTTTTGTTCTGTTTGCGTAGGTCATGTGTTATATCTTACATTAGAGGAAAAAGTACGCACACCGAGTACGTACACAAAGTTCGTACCATAGTGTTAATGTCGGAAAATATTGTTTTTTTCATCATAAATTTGTTGGCGTCATTTATTTGATAAACATTTCCTGAAAATATGATAAATTATCAAAATAATTATCATTTGAAGCACCAAACTGTTTATTCTCGTGTATGTGCAAAGTTTTAGTTCGGTTTCATGTTCTTGAAAATAAAACAGCAAATTTATATCAGTTCATAAGGGGATCGAAAAACTAATACGCTATAAAATTCACAGTACACTCGGTAACGAATACTCTTACTTAAAAATATCTGTTGAACCAGAAGGTGCCGTCCACTCGTGGCAACTTTGTGTGGTTTAAACGGTCAAAACATATAGAACTGCTCTGTACAAGACGTCCACTTCTTTTCTTCAATTTCTAATTATTCTTGTTATTTATTTACTTATTCAACCTTGTCTTTTTATCTGTAAGAGTATTTTTTCTTGTAGCTGTTGATTTCAAGTCAAGAAAATAAATTGCATACTCTTACTTCTATGTTATTTGGGTGTATTTTTGACTTTCCTAAAAATAAAACAGTATCTGTGTGTGTCTCCTAGTTCTCTCTTTATGGTCTTGAACTATTTTCGTCATAAAGCTGGTAAGATTCCTATGCACAATTTCTATAAAAAGCCATTGAATACAAGGATTTTTGCCCCGTTCTGCTGCGTACTTTCACGTTCTTCTTCGTCTTTTCTTTGTAACTTTGGACACACTCCGCTTTTACAGTATAACGTCAAAAGCTGCATGACAACACACTATTTTCACTCTGGTAACAAGTGTTTTTGCGTAGAAAATATAATAAAACAGAAAAGGAAAAAAAATGAGACGTCTAACGTCTTCACTATCGTTCTTTGTTTTATTCGTAACTGTTAAAAAAAAAACAAAAAACACTCAAATTTACGCATGAAATATGATACGCTTTTCTTTTTCTTGGTGTTGTTCTGCACTTGTAAAAAAATACTTAGAAGAGAAGAATAATCAAATTTTTTTTATCATCCAGTTTATTGTTCCATGAAGGTTAACATTTGACAAGAACATGAATTCATACGCACATTGCAAAGATACATATTTTAAAAAAGGAAAGGAGATCCTTATACCCATAAAAATCAGATTTTAAATCTTTCTCATTATTCACGTACATATTTATTTATTTGCGATGGTTTCACACAGAAATATTTCAAGACAACGTATTCTAGAGTTACGCTTGATTTTTTTGTAAAATCCATATTGTTCTCTATGAACATCAATAAAGAATATCACATCCAGGTATATATGTTTTGTACGTTCAGCAAGTCTTTTAGAGAAGCGACTATTGTCCCTAAAGCTCATACTATTGTAATACGTTTGAAACGGAGATTTATCAACGAAATAAGCTGTCAACGTTTGTCTGTAAGTGTCTGCTTCAGGAGCTGTATCTAAATAGTTTTGAAACCTTATCCAATATTTAAATAAATAGTAACGCAAAGAAAGTTCGTGACTTAACACAAGTGTAGCGAAATCATCATACCCCCAAAAGGAAGGGTGTGAGTTTGGGTGTGGATGTAAATGTGGGTGCAGGTTGGGTGTGCGGTGTGTGGGGTGAGTGTGGGTATGAGTAAGGAGAAGATTCACACTCATACTCCATATACTCACACCCACACCTACTCAGATCCTCACAACCACACCCACTAATTTCCTCACAACCACACCCACACCCCTTCTAAGGAGGGGGGGGCTGGCTTAAAGAGTTTTTCATTTAATCTCCTCACTGGACGAAAAGAAACGTGGTCTATTTGAGAAAGATGTTATTATAATACGTGCGATCGTCAAAAAGATTTGACTAGATTTTCAAAATATTTCTCCTGTTGAAAAAGAGAATACTTTGTGCAATAGAATTCGCAGGTTTCGAATATTTCTTTGTCTTTCTTCAATAAAATATAGGAAAAATAGGAAAAGGGGGTTAAATATAGGATAAAATAAAGAATTCTTCAAAAATATATGGTTTAAAGGAATTATTGGACGAATCGAACCCCAGTTAATAAAAATATTTCCAGCAAATGTTTTCGAAGCATTTCTTAAAGGAACAGCACTCGAAGAATGCTATAATCATGTTGCAATTATTGCTGTGATTATTCGCTTGATATGTTATATTTACATGCTAAAGATATATCAGCTAAAGAATCATTTGAATTACTATCCAACGACGAACTATGTCAAGAATGTCATCTGATTATGGTGAAAAAAAAATCAACATCAATTTCGACAGCTAAAAGGTAAAGTTATATGGAAAAAAATTAATTTTTTTCGAGATGAAATGATGGATTGATGATTAATCATTGTATCTTAGATAAGTATAGAGGGCAAACTGAAAAGATCATATAGTATTTTGACTGATTTATGTGCATATTAATGATTAGATTGATTCGAAGTTTTTTTGGAACTAAGTCAATATCTTTTTATATTATGCAGGTAGGCTAAATCTCGTGATAAGCACTAACGAATAAGTCACTGCCGGTGGTATCTCGCATTTGAAATGAGACTTCGGTCATTACGTAGGGTCTGTTGAAGCTAGAAGAAAACTTAATGATTCTATCTCATCATAATCTTTTTTAAGTTATGGCCGTTACATTGAACCTTTTACCCATGAAACGGTTTTAAATAATTTGCCAGCGGTACAAAATGCATTTTAATGATAATAAATTCAAAAGAACAGCGCAATCTATCTCACGCGACGTGATGTCTGCGGTCTAATGTGAAATATCGCTTCGACTTGTTCGCTCATAGATATTAATCGAGTACTCTCGCTAATATAAATCTGAATCATTTGTTTTCTTTTAGACTCACTGAATTTCTTGGTGAAGATGTTATTAAAGATAAAGGTCTTTGTTGTCGTTTTGTTATTGCTATTTTTCTACGTGATGCACCTGTTACTGAATGTGCTATATCGTTAGCTATATATCAATCTGAATACTCTGTACGTCATCATTATTTACGTAAATGGTTACATCTTTCAACTGTTGATAATCTTGACATACGTGAAATTCTTGATTGGAATTATTATATCGATCGTTTTACTAGTTGTATATAAAAAAATCATCACTATTCCAGTTGTATTACAAAATATTCGTAATCCTTCAAAACATGTATCATATTCTGATTGATAACATAAACATTAAATTGAAAAAAATAGTTTACATACACAAAAACTTATAACTGATGCATTGAATTCAATTTGATAAACAAGCAAATACCTATTGATAATAATGAACAGCAATTAGTAAATGATGTTGAAAATATTGAAACTGATAAAACAAAATCTTCAATAACAATAGAAAAAACAACAAAAACAGTAAGACCTAAACGTGATGAATTAAATGATGAATTAATCATACGTCAATGAAGAATTGTTCTTGGTTCACTACCAGTGTTTGGACAAACAACAAATGAACATATGAAATGACTCAATTATCAAAAACGAAAATGGAATATTGAACGTGAACAATATCATCAACCATCAATAACATCTAATAATCTTCAAATATTATCAAAACAAAAAAAGAAAGTCAACGAATAAAAAAATCGATACATATATTTGTCGTGCAGCTGAACATTTACAAACATGTTCATAACAAATAATATCATATGTGAATTAACTGATCAACTCGATATATTTAAAGCATGATGTTTAGTTGATTATAAATTATTACAAATAAAAATAAAAGTACCAAGAATTTTCTATGTTAATTATTGTACATCAATTGAATTGAATTCTAATCAAACACAACGATCTGCTAATTATGAACGTATTATACTTAATTGTTCACAAAAAAGTGAATTTTTTATTATCACATTGTTCATAAGCTTATCATTTATATGAATACCATTTTAGATGAAAATATATCTCGTAATTATTATACAGGTATAATGACTGTTTTAAGTAATCCAAATATTAAAGATGTATATCAAATAAATGCACCATTAGATTTTTATTTACTTGCTATACATGGTTGTATATTTATATTATGTGAAGAACATCATCTTACAAATCTATTTTCAAATTTATATCAATTTAATAAATTAGAATTTTTCGACATTATCTGAACAAACATATTTACAATCAGATACATTACAATGTATTTATTTATACCCAGGTCGTTCATGCCCGGCCGTAAACGGTCGTACACCAATCATTTACGACGAAAAACGACAGCAGTTTACAGTGACCGTGTACGACAATCATATACGGCGTTTTACGGCGTATTACGTTAATTGTAAACAATGACAGTAAACGTTCGTCCTTTACAACAACCGTAAAAATACGGCGACAGTAAACGATGCTCGGATAACATCGTAAGATATCGCAAACGGCAGTCGTTTACAGTGACCATTTACGACAATCATATACGATGCTTTACAGCGTGTTACGCTCATCGTAAACAATGACCGTAACCGTTNTATCGATCTTTTCTTTACTAGGTACCATTAAATCTGTCATAAGACCAGGATAACGTTCATCGACTTGGACGTTGCCTGTCAGCAAAAGACCAAATGAGCCTTTTGCCCAACGTTCGTAAAGACGATAAATATATTCGTTAGGTTGATTATCAACGGTGCCAAGTGATTCTTCCATAGCAGCTTTGATAATCCTATTCGATAGTTTCAATCCACAAGGAAGCTCAAAGGATTGTCCAATAGGCATATCATATTGCGCCATGATTGCAAAGAATAATTCGTATCCAAACTGACTGTAAACTGAAAACAACAAGAAAAGCTGTTAGCACAAACCCTGTAGGATTAAAATATGAAACAAAATACAGCTGCTTTTCCTAATTACAGAGAAGTTTTTTAATTTACCCATTTTGTGTACGTTTCTTAAACATTGTTTTACTCAGTTCCTGAAAACTGCAATGAAAAATTAATTCATACGTTATACTAAAAGTTATTGGTGTGTGTGCTCTTTGATCTTATACTAACAATCTTGCATACTCTATGTTTGCTTCTAGAAGTGTTTATGAACATATTAGACGTATTAGTCATCGTCTGTGAGGGTACTTTATTATCAACTGATTCTTAATTATGAGATGAATGATTAACCAAAAACTAGTCTTTAAGTAATTGTTTAGTCAATAACTCTAATTAATGAGATCTTAATTAGGTACTAACTGACTAATTGAGAAAGTGACTGTCACATCTGAGACATCTCGTTATAAAGATATCTATGAAAAGTGGCTGCTAAGCGCTTCACTTGTCGACAGACGATATGCTGTAGATTTGAGGGAATTGAAAGTTTGCATAGGACATGCTTAGATTAACAAGAAAAGTTAGACTAAAAAGATTATTTACATAGGATTGAACTCGAACCTTCAGCCCCCAATAACCGATTGGTTTTGTGTACCAGTTAAATTACCCAGATATCACCTTTACTACATTGTAGTTACATATCAATACTTCGAATGAATCCAGGAAGAATAGATATAGTTAGAGAAATAGTGTGATCCAACGGACCTTTCTCTTTCTGAATGTCGTACGAGGGCTTATCTCGATTGTAATTCGAAAGGATCTTCTTAGCCTATCAAAATAGATGGTGATATTGAAAAATAGAATTATCACAATGTGTTGTTTAAAGGTGAAGGTGAGTATCAAGGAAAAGAATGTTACGACTAGCTTCGATCCTTTCTTAGGTGATCTTCATGAAAGATGGCGAAAGGTAAAGTGCTCTAAGTTACTAAAATAGAACCAAAAGAATTCTTTCACGATTATTTAAATTAATTATCCAGTAGCAAAAGTGTCAGTATAATGATTTCAAATAACAAATAACAAGAATAATCAAGACTAAATATTCTCACAGTGATCTAACGAAGCTAAAACTTATAGATCACAGAAATCATAAATGAGTTAATAAACTATAACAACGCTTTAAATAGTAAGAGAGCACATTACGAACGATTTCATTCTTCCTTGATGGACTCATGAGATATTTTTTGTAATTCAGTACATCAAATCATGAAGAACATGATATCCAACATGATTATTCGTACAATCCTATCAATACGTTAGCTACCATTATTCTGAATCTGATCTTGTATGATCTTTCAAGATCAGACGAAAACTCGTACGAAAAATCATCGTCTCTGAAATCTTGCGTCAGATCGTACTATACGACTGATGAAACATCTTACTGTCTTGTAAGATATCACAATAAGATTATAGAAAATCGTAAGATTTTGCAAGCATCTTATACTAAGATTCAGTTCAAGATTTCGGAGACGACGACTTTTTGTACGATTTCGTCGGATCATACAAGGTCTTACGTCTGACTTTTTGACCTGGGTTAGGGGAAAATGGTCATACATGGAAGGATTGAAGTAAGATTCGTTGAACAATGAAGGAGTTTTTCAGAAGAACGACTTTTACAACGTAACTTTTTTAGGTCTTTCCGTTTGAAGGTAGTTGATTGAAAGACAACGGTTTCTCTCTTCATCCTCATTTTTCCAATACAAGCCGTCATAAAGAATTTCTTGCTGTCGCGTTGCTGTAGACTAATCAAGATTTAATGAGAAACTTCTATTGGATTAACAAATAGGTACATGACGGAAACGTTTTTTTTTTGGTTAAATTCTTAGACCAACGGATCTAATTAGGCACGAACCGAATATTACAACGATCTGATTGAATGACACCTAGATAACGCCGTTCTCTAATTGACTAAGTTGTTAGGACACTGTTTTATAAAAGATGTTTCATCTCATCCTGGCTTTCATTTCGTAGTGTCTTTTTACAACATGGAACATCAAGGAAATGGATACAAAGCACTTGTCCTGATAACTTCTCTGAACTCTTACATATATATGTATCCACACGATTTAATACTTGTATTGAAACATCCAAACAAACAAATTCATTGTATAGTATATGATCTCTTCGTCAATCGAAGAAGGTAAAATGTGTTATATTGCAAGTAACGAAAAGTATCTCTACAAGAACATTTTTTCGTTGTTAAAAATCGAAAAATATCATCTGGCGACACGAGAATTTTGTAAATGTAACTTACTTGATGTTGTATTTATCAGAACTTTATTAGAAGTTTTTTTTTGTTGTTTTGTCGGATATAGTGCATGTTGCTGCTTTTTTATATGTCGCTGTTTTTTTTTCGTTCTGTTTGCGTACGTCATGTGTTATATCTTACATTAGAGGAAAAAGTACGCACACAGAGTACGTACTCAGCGTACGTGCACAAAGTTCTTACCATAGTGTTAATGTCTGAAACGAGTACAAGCACAACGAAGATGATGATGATCAATAGTTTGTTTTTTTTCTTTTCCTTTTTTCTAAATTATTATTATAAAATGATATGCTGCAATACTTTGTCTATAGAATTATTGAAAGCCCTTGAAACGTTTCTTTTATGAAAACTACTTAGGGGTACCCAAAAGTAGTGGCGGAGGTATCTTATTTTCTTATAAAAGGTTTGAGTAAATTTTCTTTTTCTATAGGATGATAGAGAAAATAGAGCTCTATTTTTCTATGCTATTTCATATGTATTTATCTAGTGTTATGATAATGAAATTCTGACAACAACTAATTTTGTGTAAAATATAACCCTAATGTTGAATCATATTTTTATCCATGTGCATTTTTGTTTTTNAATAATTAAAAGGAGATAATTTACACTGATATTATTTGACTTGTCTTTTCTGAAAATAGATTCGAACATTGGATAATTTAGTACCAAAATGATCAGATCAACACGTTTCTTCAAATCTCAACGAGTTTTGAAATGGTTAACAAGCTATCCGGTTAGATTTTGCCGATATATTCACTAGAATTCCATAAAAAATTCTCACCTAAAATAGTTTTGACAGTAGTTCATTCCAAGATGAAAGGTGTGGAGAAAACTAATTAGCGCATGTTGTAGAGCAACTTCTGCTTTATCGAAATGAAAAGCAGACCAGTTTCGCTAATTCCAACTTTCTTATCGACTTCTTCGTACACTGTTCCTCTATATTGCAAATCAGGGGGCAATATAAAAATGGGTGAACATTTTTTAGGTTCCTAAGGCTTCTGGTGTAGTTTTTCAAGATGAATCCAAATATGTAATTGGTTTTGAAATTTGAATGGATAATTATGAACTTTCACCGATTTTTCGATAAAAATGTGATTTGAATTTATTGAAAAATACATAAAATGCATCAGTAGTGTTTGAACCGTATCTCTGTGAAAATGGTGACCAAGTGTAAAGTTTTTATGACCAAAATGCTCAGCGCAAAAAACTCTACAAATCCGAAGAGTTTCACTGAGTTTGGACGTAGTCACAGGATCGACTGGCGACATTCCATGGAAACACCCTTAAATTAATTATTATATCGAACAATAAATCAAATTTTATCTACTTTTCTAAGAATTACTATCTAATAGATATAATATGAAGTCATCATCTGATGAAGTCTCGCCATGGACAGAAACAACCGTTGTCATGGTTTGGTGATATTTTTAACACACATCCACACCCACACCCTACATGTGTGCATTTTTCCACTAAAGTAGAAGAAGAAAACGTGTTAGTGCAGTCTCTTTGGGGCTAAAACGTGGAACTATCGTAGTTTCTTCATCCTAATTATACGAATACACAATATGTAAATTGAGCGTGTGGGTGTGGGTGACTTTATCACACAGACGTGGCACACCCACGTCCACTATACTGAACGTGACTCACCATTCGTGAGAAAGAAGCAAACTCTATACATATCAAGTGATAGATTTTTTGGGCACGAATATAAGTTATCGAACCGTGTCCAAAACAACTATTAGTTGTTTTAAGCAAGGAAAAATCAATCCATACCCAAAAAGGTCCTCGTCCGGGCGAACGAGTAAATAAGCACTAATAAACAGAACAAAAAGAAGCAATTTTTCAATCATTAAGAGCAAACGCAAACAGGCGAAGGCAGCTATGTAGGTAAAAAAATTTTCTTTTTCTATTCCGCTTCATTCACGTCATCAGCACAGCGACGACGATGAAATAAAAGAAGAAGAAGAACACAAAAAAAAAGAAATAGAAAATGAGACGAACGTATATTGCCTCTTAAAAGTACCACTTCGCTTTACACACAGTTTATGAAAATTGTGGTCGGGTTCGTATTGCACTCACCGCCGCTTCATCTGAATCTCCAAAACAACAATAACAAATCGAATTTGACGAAAATAACACTACAGTACTCTGTTAAGACCTCTAATTAAAGATTGAGCCTTGTTAATATCACTTATTCAATTTTATATTCGATCCAGACGAAATTGACAATCAACAATAAGTCTTTATTATTAATCAAATGTTAAAATTCAAGAATTCCAAGCAGAAATTTCTGCAACCATCTGCAGAAAAGGGTCGTCTCAAACAAAACAGGAACGAATCATCTTGGAAGTCGGCAGATCATGTCATACTCAACGAAAATCACGTTACTCGTCTTATACAATGGCTCGATCAATTGATTCGACGACAATTAATTTCTATCACCGAACAGAACGATATCGTTATTATGGTCGGCGGTGAGAACGATGAAACTCAACAGATCTTTATCAATTCTGATGACGTTGATGCTTACATGAAAGCAAAGATGGGGAATAGTAAGACAATGGACGAAAACGAATTTATCTGCGTATCGGATGTCGCTCGAATTCTACTCAAATGCGGCTATGTCGATGGATCATCGGGCCACCTGT